TGTCTGATCTTCTAATAAACTGTTTGTGACTGGTTAAACCTTTTATGCTAAGAAATGTATTTTTCCTTTGTGCATCTAATGGGACAGCTGAAATTCATCAACATGTAACAGGTTAGTAATGTAACAATTAACTTGACGAATACATGGGTATTTGTATGTCAGATAGGGCCCCGATGCTCAAAACATGTAGTCATAGTCCCCAAGGAATATCCAAGGCAGCAAGCCAGAGAAGGTACTAGTATCTAAAACTGGGACTCATAATGTTCAATGAAGTTATAATTCCATAAAAGGTTGTATTTTAGGACATGTATGAACCATTAATAATCAAAATATTGAATGAATAGTGCTTGTAAAGAACTGAAAGTGCTTTATTTGAACTAGAACTTTTATTTTTAAGGTGAAACCTGAGGAAGGCATTAATCCTGAGGAGGAAGAAGGGGAATTAGCATTATGGTCTCCTGATGTGAAGGTTATTGAACTGGAGAAGGACAAAAATGGTTTAGGATTCAGCATTTTAGACTATCAGGTATACTTTTCCATATCACTAAATATGAAAAATCCCTTTGACTCTTTGTTTTGTATGGTGCCTTAAAACGTTCTGTAATATTGTTGGTTACTGGGTAATCAGCTTGGCACTTGGACCTAGAAACTGTGTAGGGAGAAGTAATTTATTTTGAGGCCAACTCTGTAAAGTATAGTGTAGAGCTTGTTCTAACCCAGTCTGATGATTGGATGTGATAAAGTGAAAAATCTTTCATCAAACTCCAACTCATAATTCTGAGTTTAAAGGCTAAATGAGGGGTGGGAACTGGGGTTTGTTTTATTTTGTTTTAACTTGGAATAACTTTTCAGCAATGAGAGTGGCAAAAATATTTTCTTGAATATTGCAATATGATTTACTATTTATAAAATGTAATGAGTCTTCTCTCTCTCCTTCTGAGACTGCCCCCAAATCACCTTTCATTTATGAATGCAGTATAGACCCATGCTGGTCTGCGAACTGTGGTCCCATTCAAGTCATGGAAAGACTGTTTTCAGCAGGGTTTGGATCAAGCCATAAAATCAGAACTATCTATTTTCCAAAATAGAGGTTGCAGAAGTAAAGTTTTAATGTGACTGACCTTCACATGGGGAAAGTCAGGGCTGACATATTGCAAACTCGGTTTCTGTACATACAAGTTTGCTTTAGTAAGTTGCTTTACTTTCGTAGTATAAGAATAGAGATTGAAGATCCTAAATAATGATTCCTTCCCTTATGCTTCCCTGCTTAAACTATTCAACCAGTATTCCAGAGATAGGGCTAGAATTTTCAATATTTAAAAATATTAAAAAGAGTTTACTTTCAGAAGTCATTCATAGCTTAAAAGAATCTTCTCTGAGAAGAAAACCTCTTTTTTTGACACTTAACATTTTGGCCTAGGTTATCTATTTTAACTGTTGAACTCCTTAGAGATCAAGGGAGAAGTCCTCTGTCAGTGTAATTGGGGGAAAATTCTACTGAAATTAATAAATCTTTTTGCAAAATATTGGCTCCATTTAAGTATATAGAAAACCTCAAAATCTGAAGTCAGAATTAAATGTTCTTAATGTTTAGTCATTGTAATATTTTTTTAAAACCTCTAACAATCATATTTATAAGGAAATAAAATAGCTGGATTAGTCTTCATAATAATATACACATCACATCTGAGCGCTGCCTAAACGTTGTAGTTTAATAAAATGTATTCAATTGTTATGCATAAATGTCAAGTGATATAAAATTCAATTATATTTTTGTTACAATAAGACATGAATAGGGAATGAATTCAAATAAAAAATACTTTGGAGTATTATGCAAAACCATTAATTCTATATTTTACCAGTGTGATTTAAGATTACTGAAAATAGATCCTGTTAGTCATTTTCACTGACACATGTTGTGTTACAGTGCCAGCTTTGCTGTAGAGTTGCTAGGAGTCTTTGCAGAGCAGTAATACGCAGATTTGCTTTTAAGTTCTCATTTAATCAGAATTAATGAAGGCTTTAATAACGGGCTTTTTATTTACTTATTCGCAGATGCAAATACATGAGCAATGTTGTGATACTTTCAGCTAAATTTAAATAGATTCCAATCAATTCTGAATGAGTGGTAAACCACTTAAACTCAGATCTTTATAATTTCAAGATATTTATGTATAAAGTATTCTCTTTTGTTTGGAATTTGCCTCTTAGATATTTTACACTTTTCGTCATGTGCAGATTAATTTTTAGACAGAGATAGCTGTAACTGTGTGTGCATGTATGTAAATATCTCCATCTCATTCTTGCGGGCAGGGCAAAGACAATGAATAATTGTCCACACTTAATTGTGTGTGTGTGTGTGGGGGGGGGTGACGGGGTTCTGTAGTTACTGGGAAATTGTTCAGAATTCTTAAAGCAAGGTTTACCAAAATGCATAAAATTATAGTGACATTACCATTTAAAGGATCTGCATACCTAACCTAGATATGATAATATTCATATGATTACTCAAAATGAGCAAAATCAAGAGAGGTGTTCACGTGGCCTAGCTTCAGATCTCCAAACAAGGTGCTTCGGTGAGGGACTGGCCTCTGTAGGCTCCCACTAGAGTTGATGGGAGTGGCGGGGCAGGGAGCAAAAGACTTTTTAAGAGGTGATTTGGAGCAAAAGACTAACTCCTGGTGCTCTGAATTGCCCTCAGAAGGGCCTCTCTCTTCCTGCGTTGTCTGTCCTGGAAGTTTAAGGAAGCTTCTGTGCTTAAGGAAGCTTCTGTGCTGGGTACCCTACTTGGAGGTGATGCAAATATACCTCTGAGTTTTTAAGATCCACATGTGTTTGTAGTTTTTAGTTGAACTGGAACTTCAGAAATACTGGTTGGAATTTGTAAAGTAACAGTAGAGGGGAGGAAAATGTGATGCACCGTTATTCCATCTTATTTTCCACCTCCAGCAAGTTATGATAACATCTTGGAAATGTTATGGCAATACCAGTGTATACCAGCCCGTTTCAGTCACTTTTTGTGAGAGGACGGTGACTGTTATCTGCAGTGTTTAAGGGCCCCTGATAAACCTGCTCCCAGAGATGTGTGACTGTCGGGGCTGTTGTGGCTCTGATCAACGCCACGTGCGCTGCAGCAGTGAAAGAGCGCGAAGCAATTAGAGAACAGGCTTCTCGCAGGGTACTGTGCAGGTTTCTTCCCCCTGCTTTCCATTAACGCGTGCTATTTATTTTGAAGCGTGAGGCTTTTTACCTTTCTATGTTAATTTTAATTGTAGAGTTAGACCTGATGCTGAATATGTTCTCGTTATAAGAACACTTACAGCATTAATCATCTTATTTTCTCCGAACTGGCTACAGACTTGGCATAACTGAGCCTCAGTTGTCTAAAATGTTGTAGTTTCCAAGCCATGCTCTGAAAAAACAGTATTAATAAAAACTCGTAGTGATGTAGAGTAGGAATTTGAGTACTTAGAAAACTTACTGCTGCGATCGAGAGGTTATTACTCTGGCCTATTAATTTTTAATGGGCTGTCTTTCTAATAATGTTTCCTCTATCAAATAAATGATAGACATATCCCAAATGACTTGCAGGATATTCCCAGAAATGTACAAACATAATTCCAATGTCTATATATTTTAATGAACTAATTACAAATTAATTATACCAATTATGTGCAATCAATAGTGTTTCTGCTTTGTCCTGTGTTGTCTTTTTTCTGTCTTTACAGGTTTAAACGCTCAAAACAGAGCTGCCTTCTTTTTTAACAAGGTCCTCGAAGGACCTTGCTGAAAATTTGCGATGTCATTACAGGAATGGAGTAGGCTTAGCATGTTTGCTATAACAGGACTATATTTATATAGGCTAATGCTCAGCTTCAGATTATCACTATGCCTAAAAAGATCTTTTTTTTCCCCTTTTGCTGAGCATCCCAATTCCAAATTGTGCGTTACGGGTGCCATGTTAGCAAGGCTGGTAGCTGGCGGGAGGGGAGGCGAAGGGGCAGGGCTGATCTTGTGGTACCTTTCTTGAAATGATCGATTCCACTGTCCTTTTTTTTTTCCTCCCCAACATGACGACTTATTTAAAAAGAAACCAAACATCGAAGAGGTCTTAACATGAAATCTGCTGCGCGTTTTTTCTCTTGTCGCCGCTGCGTTGGGATCCTGGCCGAGCTCTGCGGCTAGGCCTTGGGTTTTCTTGGGAGCGCTGAGACGAGAAGGC